ATAAAATTGCACCAAACAGGCAACTTCTGCTTTGCCCTCTAAGTAAGTCTATTCATGTACATACACAAAAACAGCTAAATGTTTTCAACAACTGACATTAAACCAATACCTGAAAAACTGTCATCACCACAAAATACTGCATGTTTACCCAAATACTAAGAGTTCACAGAAAAATACCTAGAACAAACATCCACATCACCATCCTCAAACATTAAATAAGCACAATAACCAGTTAAAACACCTCTAATCACCACCTACCTCAAAACACAAAACAACAAAAACTACTCTCAATTCCTGACACCATAGGTGCAAAGTTAAAATTGAATGAGTGGTACAGTTTGGTTGGTGTGACTGTTTAAGTCGAGTAGATGTTTGAAAGTTGTGAAGTGGGGGGAGTAACTACCAGTTTCCAGAACAAGTACCATTTAGTTTTGTTTGCTTGTTTTCAGAAATGAGAGAGATACAGAGCTTTAAAAATAATAAGTTAGCTATTAGCTGGAATAAATGTTAATCTTTTCAACCTTTACATTCATTGAAGTTTTTTTTTCTTGAGGGACTTGGGGTGAGTGGAGAATACAAACATCTATCTTCCCTTAAGTTATATCTTTGCACTTCAAGTGGGAAATTATGATTTATTCGTAATCTTTAAACTATGAATCTATAGTGGGATGAATATATTTTTAAGGCCTCTGCCTTTCAGATTCACAATTATTTTGGTGCCTAGTCACAAAACAGCTAATAAAAGCAAAAAAGAAAGTCACTCCAGAAAGTCACATGCATAAGCCAAAGGAACATATTTTTTAAAGATGTGTGTAACTTTTTTACATAAAATCGGGTAGTTCCTTTGGTAAAACCTCTCTTAAATACTTGGTTAGATAGCAACGTGAAACCAACATTTAGCAGCTAAAAACCAGCTCTATTGACAATTTCTATTTGGCGATAGGTGGAAACTTAAGTTTTATTCCATACGGTATTATAGCTATGATACTGTTGGTAGCAAAAACAGACTTTCATCTGGTGCTGGGTGAAAGTTTAATAGTGTGCATAATTGAAAAGGTCTTCCAACATTCTTCAGGATGGTCAGCCATACCCTACATCTCACTTTTCTTCTGTCCTTTTCAAATAGCTTTTCAGCTTCAGCCAGCAGAGACTTTATGAAATGTATTTTTAACAGCAGTCCAAATTTTCAAGTATTGACAGGGAAATGATTCAAGAAAGATAAAGTTTGGTAAATTAAATGAAAAAGGTGCATCCCTCTTTTCTATCAGAACATGAATGTACGATGCACAAAGCATGCTTGATGGATTCATTAGTAAAAGATAATGTGAGAGAATATACATGATTATAAAATAAGATAATATGTGGCACTGATAGTTACTGAGTTGAAAGGTTATGGAATGAAACTGGTTTCCAGTCTTCGGTGTTGTGGTGCCACAAACAACTGAGCTTCACAATTTATTATATATGCCTATTAACATTGGACAGGTGAGAGGTGCTAATGCCTTTGTTCAGTATATTCTTCCAATGCACTTAGGGATCTGGCATAGACCTGAACAGAAAACAAAAATATTAGTTTGAAGCCAGGGGAGTTATGTTATATAATCAAGGAAATCTATTATTCAACTATTTTAGATTCATTTGTATTATAGTATGATTTACCTCTAAAATAGATTGTGCAATTATATTTGCTCTCAGCATTTCTTCACGATCTTCTTCCCAGGCCTGTAGCTTCTCGTTTCTTGTCTTTAGCCTGGATGTTTCCATTTTGTCCAAGTCTTCTGCAGAGGATGTAAAGACTGTGCCAGAAAGTTTGAGCAGATTTACAATGCTATTTGAAACTGGATATATAAATAACATAAATGTTATATATTAAATGCAGTAAAAATAAATTTACAGAGAAAGGTAGAAAAAGATGAAGTATTGGTTTTGTTATAGAAATAAAAGACTGTTTTCCATTTCAAGGTCTGCACCGCACCAATAAAGTGCGCTGACGCACACTACAAAAATAAAAACAAATTACATCTATAGAAAACAATTCCTCACAAGTAAAAGAGGAATAACTATAAGTTACTATCAATGTATTTTAAGAAAAGTAACTTGAACTACCTCACTATATATTAGCAGGATACAGGGAAAGCAAAAAGACATAGGAATGTTATGAAAAACCCCCAAACAAGTCATAGCCAAACACTCCATATTTTCCACTGATAACTATAAGACCTGGAAGAGCAAAGGTCTTAGGACTAAATCAGCAGGCATTAGATGCAGCCCACGGATAACAGTTATGTGCACCTAAATGAAGAGAAAAAGGAACACCATACAAACTAATGTATTAGAAAAGTGGCCTGGAACCCTCTCTTTCTGAACTTACCTTTAAAAGTAGCATGATGATGGGACACAAAGAGCAGAGTAAACAGGGAAAAAAGCAGGAGAATTGGCTCCTGAATTCTAGGCATGTTGGAAGCACTGAGGGATGGGTCTGGACTCTGGATACAGCATGACGGGGGCACCATAAACAATATCTTATGAGGCATGTTCCCCACTTACAGTGTGCTCAATCAGAGAAGTTTGCTGCATTTGGCCTAGTGTCAATAGAATAGAAGTCAAAGTCCAAATCCCCGATTACAGAGTGGTCACTCACATCAGACTTGGAAGAAAGCACATGGCCAAAAGCTCTAAGGGCCTCAAAAGGGAGTCAAAAAGGTTACTTACAGAGAGGTCAAGATGCCCATGTTATTCAAAAGGATCTAATCCTCCAGATTTTAAAAAGCAAGATGCATGCAACCTACTCTGATTACAGGGCGGTTGCTGCCCGGCCAAGAAGCAGAGATCATAACTAGAACTACAGGGAGATCTAGCTCCTGAAAGAACCAAAGTGCTCACTATTTCTCATTCTACAGAGACTTGTGACTTGCACCCTAATTTAAGAGTTGTCACACAGAATAGCACGTAAGCTGAGACCTATACTGTTGACGAGGGTGGTCCCATTGCTCACTTTAACAATGTACTCACTGCCCCTCAAAACACCACCATTTTAAAGGACAATTATTGCAGTCAGCCCAATAAAAGAAGTTTTACCTAAACAAGGCTGAGATGGAGAAACCAGATTCCTGTTTACAGAGAGGTGACATTCTCCAAGGCAGCAAAAGAGGATATCTGAGCCCTTTCTTTACACTTTAGTGGGGAGAAAGAGGAAAAAAACACTAAGATATTTTGAGCTGTTTTTCCAATTCTGAGAAGAAAGAAAAGGTGCTGCAGCAAATTAACGTAAAAAAATCAAACTAAACATAACATTAAAAGTTTTCACGCACATTCGTATCACATGCTACCACAAAAACATATGTACAAAAAAAATTGGTAAATTCCAGAACAGAAAGAGAGCTCATTATGCCAGGATATTAGGAAACATTGGTGAATTTGACATTTTCCTCCCCAAAAAATAACAATGAAAAGGCATAACACCTGCAAAACAGTTACAAAGTAGGATCAAATTCATAAGGCCAGCCACCAAAAGGGCTATATAGTGCCTCACACAAGACACAGAGAGGAGACTCACACCCAGATAACAGGGCAGTCGCTCCCACTAGGCAGCTAACGAAGCCTAATGTCAAAAAGCCAAAAGGGCAGAGACACAGGAGCTCAATATGGCCATTCCTAGAGTGACTTGTCACACACACCCAAATCCCAGGGTTGACCCATAGACGAGTGGGGCAGAACAAGGCGTAAAGCTTAAGGGGCAAATGGGACAAGAGGCAGAGGGCAGTCACATTGCTCGGACTAACAAAGAGCTCGATCCCCTCAAAAGACAAGGGGGAGGAGACACACACCCTGATTACAGGGCAGTCGCTCCCACTAGCCAGCTAACGGAGCCTAATGTCAAAAGGGCACAGACCTTTTCTCTTCTTTCTTGCACATGCCTCCTTTTTTCCCTCTTCTCTGCTTGCGCGTGAGGCTGCCTGAGACAGAGGAAAGAGCATAGAGACGTGGGTAGGCGAGATCCCCGTACAAACCCCCCGCATCCCACATGCAAAATGAGAACAAACGGCGAGTACGTTGTTCATTTCCACATCTGCAGACAGCATGGCTATTGGTCTTCAAGGTAGTTCTAAGAGGTCCTGAGGCACTCCTCTTTGGATTTTCCCTCCTCCTAAGCACCACCGGGTGAGAAAAGTTCCCACTCCATCCTACTCCAAAGTCCCAACCAATAACCTTAACACCAGGCAACCAGCACGCACAATCAAGAGGAATTGAATGATTAAGGGGAGAAAGGGCTTACGTGACAAGATTCTTGCAAAGTCAAGGCGACAAAGCATACTGCCTGCGTGGATTTAGTCAAAAAGCGCCACAGCAGACTTCCCCTCAGAACTTACCAGCAATTGCCGGCCGGGTCTCCGAGAGAGCAGGAGACTTGGCTTCTGAATTCCCGGCACGTGGGGAGCGCTGCGGGATGGGTCAGGACTCTGGACACAGTGTCATGGGGGTACCATACCTAATATCCGATGAGGCACATCCCCTGTCTACAGGGTGCTCATCCCAAGCAGTTTGCTGCACATGACCTAGTGCCAAAAGACTCGAGGGCAAGGAACCCATCCCCGAGTACGGGGCGGTCCCTCGCATCGGGCTGTGAAAATGCCCAAGACCAAGAGACCCAAAGGGCCTCAAAAGGGACGCAAAGCCTACTTACAGGCTGCCCACGAGACTGGAAGGGATCTAATCGCCTGGTGTTGAGAAGCAAGAGGCATGCAACCAGTACCCTGATTACAGGACGGTCACTGCAGATCCAAAGGGCAGAGACCAATACCTGAATTACAGGCTGGTCAAGCTCCTGAGAGTACCCAGGAGCTCAATATGTCCCTTTCTAGCGAGACTTGTCACACTCACCAAAATCCCAGGGTTGACCCGTGGGGCAGAGCAAGGCGTAAAGCCCGAATAGCAAATGGGACGAGACGCAGACCCTACTTGCAGGGCGGTCACATTGCTCGGACTAACAAAGAGCTCGATCACCCAAATCCCAGGGTTGACCCGTGGACGAGTGGGGCAGAGCAAGGCGTAAAGCCCGAATAGCAAATGGGACGAGACGCAGACCCTACTTGCAGGGCGGTCACATTGCTCGGACTAACAAAGAGCTCGATGCCCCACAAAAGACAAGGGGGAGGAGACACACACCCTGATTACAGGGCAGTCGCTCCCACCAGCCAGCTAATGGAGCCTAATGTCAAAAGGCCAGAAGGGCACAGACCTGGACCCTGCTTACAGAGCGGTCACACTGCTCAAGGTACGAAAAGGCCCCACATCCACAGGCAGTATAAGGACATGACCTTAGACCTCATTACAGAAAGGAAACTGTGTCCAGAGTCCCTTTCCGTCTCCTCCATCTTCACTCGTCGTCTTTTCTCTTCTTTCTTGCACATGCCTCCTTTTTTCCCTCTTCTCCACTTGTGCGTGAGGCTGCCTGAGACAGAGGAAAGAGCACAGAGGTGTGGGTAGGCGAGATCCCCGTACAAACCCCCCGCATCCCACATGCAAAATGAGAACAAACGGCGAGTACGTTGTTCATTTCCACATCTGCAGACAGCATGGCTATTGGTCTTCAAGGTAGTTCTAAGAGGTCCTGAGGCACTCCTCTTTGGATTTTCCCTCCTCCTAAGCACCACCGGGTGAGAAAAGTTCCCACTCCATCCTACTCCAAAGTCCCAACCAATAACCTTAACACCAGGCAACCAGCACGCACAATCAAGAGGAATTGAATGATTAAAGGGAGAAAGGGCTTAAGTGACAAGATTCTTGCAAAGTCAAGGCGACAAAGCATACTGCCTGCGTGGATTTAGTCAAAAAGCGCCACAGCAGACTTCCCCTCAGAACTTACCAGCAATTGCCGGCTGGGTCTCCGAGAGAGCAGGAGACTTGGCTTCTGAATTCCCGGCACGTGGGGAGCGCTGCGGGATGGGTCAGGACTCTGGACACAGTGTCATGGGGGTACCATACCTAATATCCGATGAGGCACATCCCCTGTCTACAGGGTGCTCATCCCAAGCAGTTTGCTGCACATGACCTAGTGCCAAAAGACTCGAGGGCAAGGAACCCATCCCCGAGTACGGGGCGGTCCCTCGCATCGGGCTGTGAAAATGCCCAAGACCAAGAGACCCAAAGGGCCTCAAAAGGGACGCAAAGCCTACTTACAGGCTGCCCACGAGACTGGAAGGGATCTAATCGCCTGGTGTTGAGAAGCAAGAGGCATGCAACCAGTACCCTGATTACAGGACGGTCACTGCAGATCCAAAGGGCAGAGACCAATACCTGAATTACAGGCTGGTCAAGCTCCTGAGAGTACCCAGGAGCTCAATATGTCCCTTTCTAGCGAGACTTGTCACACTCACCAAAATCCCAGGGTTGACCCGTGGGGCAGAGCAAGGCGTAAAGCCCGAATAGCAAATGGGACGAGACGCAGACCCTACTTGCAGGGCGGTCACATTGCTCGGACTAACAAAGAGCTCGATGCCCCACAAAAGACAAGGGGGAGGAGACACACACCCTGATTACAGGGCAGTCGCTCCCACCAGCCAGCTAACGGAGCCTAATGTCAAAAGGCCAAAAGGGCACGTACCTGGACCTTCTAAATGGAACTGCATCTAGAATAGGGGAAGTGGACTTTTAATCTGTAGGGCTTTAAATCCTGATCCCTGAGCTCTTTTTTTCTGTTTTGTGGGGAGAAAGTGTTTCAGTCTTTCTATAAGCATTGAGCTCTTTTGCCAATTATGTGGAGTTGAAATAAAACCTGCTGCAGCAGTATAACTGAAAAAACTCAAAATAAACAAACAAATAAATAAGAACTTCCATTCCAATTCTATCACATGCTCTCAACATCATCCATTAAAAAAAAGGGGGAGTTCCTCGAAAAGGCAGAGAGCTCTCAGCAATGGGTAATTGGAACCATATGTTTTCAACTTGATCCATCTTCCTCCTCTCAAAAAAGAAAGGGCAAGCATCTAAACCTGTACCCTGTTTAGAGGGTCATGTCAAACAGACACGCCCAGCAACCCAAAGGAATCATAGGGGCAAGCAGGGCAGTCAAATTGCTCAGTTGAACAAAGAGGTCAATTCCCATCAAAAGAGAAGAGGAAGTTACTTGCACTCTGATTACAGGGCATTAACTCTCACGTAATCATTAACAGAGCCTAATGTTAAAAGGACAAGATGGCTCAGTCTTGTACCCCTGCTTTACTGCTCAGGATATTAAAGACTTGACATCCCCATGCAGTATAATGACATGACCTGAGGCCCCATTACTGTGCCAAGAGTACTTCTCCTCTGTCTTCAGTGACCCATCTTCTTTCCCCCTCTTCTTTGACATTTTCTTCTTGCCCTCTTGTGCTTGAAGCTGACTCAGAGAGAGTGGAAGTATAGAGTTGTGTGTTAGTCCCATGTCCTTACAACATCTGCATAGCCCTCAGGTAAGGATTTTCCCCTCCTCCCAAGCCCTACTAGGTGAGATATGTATCAGACCTTCTTCACACGGATCCTGAGACTATCCCCTATCAGAATCACCCCAGCCTTTCCCATCCTGCCCACCGTCACCATAGCTTTTACAGCTCAGTCGGTGATCCTTTTCTCCTTCATAATCACCTCAGCCTTTCCTGGATAG